ATTTGGCCTGGTTAAACTTCATGAGGTTAAATGTTCAAAGATTTAAATGTAATTTAATGCCATGTTTGATGCAAGTTTAAACATTGTCAGTAATGCTGCATGGGCCTGCCTCTGGAGAACCAGCAAGCAAGAGCATTTACACTCCCAAAGGGAGAGGGAAATGCAAGTAATAAACAGACTGCACGATGGGATTCCAAAAGAGCAGTGCCCAAGCTGAGAAGTCAACATTTTTCCAAAGCTTGGCTTTGGTTTATGTTCCTCTAGAGGAAAAAGTGACTCGGATAATTAAGCTGATGGAGATTTTCCAAGCTGTTCAAGACACTGAGAACACATATCTTGTCCTCAGCTTAATGGCAGGCACGATATAAATGTCTTTAAAAAAAATACCCTGCATTTTTAATTGCGCTAAGTATTCTGGGAACACAAACATGGCTGGAATATTACTTTAATAAAAGCACTAAAGAAACGCCTATGCATGGAAAAGGGATATGCTGTGACTGGTATCGCTTGCCCATCCAAATACTTGGGTAGCTATCTGCCCTCGCCTTGCCTTTGAAGCGGTTGCTCTGCACGACTTTCTTTCAAGCTTTCCCCACTTCTCTTTCCTCTCCAGTAGCTAAAAATGGGATGTGTATTTGCAGAGCAGAAATAAAAACCCCCTCCTGCCCAGAACATTGCTTCTTTGATCCCAAACAAGAAAACAGGCTTCAAGCTGGCAAGGTTGCTATTTTGAGTAACACAATGTTCAGGGGAGCCGTATTTCTCCCTTTTAACAGAGACAGCTGATAGTTGCTGCTGCAGAAGCCAAGATCGGATGCCACCGTGTCCCCACGGCCCAGCAGACACAGCCTGCTGAAGGAGGGAGCAAGGAGGGCAAGGGCAGGAAAACCTTGCTGGCACGGACCTCGCGTTGGCTACTGCAATAGATAAACCACTATATCGAGAGAGGCTGCTCTTGGGAGCTGGTGGAACTGCTCACGGGCTTTAAGTTAAGCACAGACATGAGCTGCGTCAGTGATTAAATATCAGACACTTTGTGGAACTGCTCTTCACAGAGTGGACATTCACTTTCCAACCAAGGGCTGGCACTCAGGTCTTGTGCAATAATTAAATGTGATTGAAACTCTCAAAACATTACACACTTGCATGGCATAGCCCCCATGGACTGCTGAATATTTGCATGAGGGTGGATATTGCTGCCAGGATCAAGCCCCATCCATGAGAAGGAAAACCAAAGGTAGTCAGCAAGACCAGTCTGAGGTACCTGCTAGGAATTAGGAACAGTCATCAAAAAATTTCCCGCTAAAGTCTGCATTTTTCCACAGAAATGTTTTTCAGAAAAAAAATGGGAATCTTTTACTAAAATTTTATCTCACAGAGACTCACAAGCACGACTTCGAAAGAGATAGGTAATCCACAAAATTGCACAATTTATAAAATGATTATTCTGTGCTGGACAAAAATGCAAATGAAATATTTCAGCTACTTTTTCTTGGAAGAAAGTGGTTTTACTTGAAAATTATTGCCTAAACCATACTTGGCAGTTAACACCTCTATGTTGCGTTTGATCCAATTCAGGTTTAATTACACGGATTACTGCAAGCATTCACACTGACAACGCCAACATTTCCTTTTTTTGCTAGGTGAAGCTGATGAGTCCATGATACTCCCTCTGCATGTCCCCCCTCCTCAACCCTACAGTGATTGTGACAAGGCAGTGGTGGCCGGGCACTTTTACACCACCAGGACCATCACAGACCCATCAGCTTCACCATCAGTTCATGGTTATTCAACCTGACCAAGGCTGGTGCCTGCGGTTCTGCAGATGGGCAAGCAACTAGCCTGGTTCATACCGGGTATCGTTTGGGTCGTCCCTGTGCCAAGTGCAGTCCTTTCTCCCATTTTGCTAGGAAGACTTCACCTCAGGAATCTGTGTGCTTGGCTGCTCCACGGCCAGCTGGTTTTCAAAGACACAGCACAGCTTGTAGTTTTCTATGAGCTTGGCTTGAAAATACTCCCTGTCCTTCTTGTGCCAAATGTCTGTGGCAATGTAGGTGTTGTAGGGGTCACGGGAGTCCTCCAGCTTCCTGGCACGGATGTTGGTCAGCATGACTCCCACTGTGAAGAATCCAAAGAGGCCGACCATCAGCAGCACGTAGATGATTTCCAGGTTGCTGCCAGCACTTCTGACCTGGGAAGGTGCAGAGCTGTTCGACTGCTCCAGGTAGTCTTGAAGCAGCTTGGAGAGGAATGAATTCAGGGCTGTGTCGTTAGACAGCACCAACATCTTGGTTTTCTGTCCTTTGCACTTCTTTCTTCCTCAATTGTAATTTATCTAGAAAAGAACAAAAATAAGGGGCATGCCATCAGATAAAGATGTGATTCCCTCTGTCTCCCTTTACTGGCTCCCTCCTCAGTCTTCGCAGAGGGTCTGCCATGGTGCGCAGCTGCCTTGGCTGTTGGCCACTCAGCCAGGTACCTCACCCAGGCCTCCTGTGCTCCTGTTTAAAGCCCATGACTTCTCTCCTGAGCCCCCACGGGCAGAAGGAGTGCCTCACTCCTCTGCAGCAACTGCTTCTGGCTTTGAAGATCGTGATTGTGGCTTCCCTCTACTCTCCTCTACTTTCAGCTTAAGGATTGCATTTGGAAACAAAACTTCTGTACCTGATCTGCGGTGAGTGGAAATCACTCAGTACCTGCAGCAAGCTCCTGTTGAGGAGTCTTGCCTTTCTTCTGCAGCTCTGCTAATGATACACACTAAGTAAAACCAAGCAACTAAACCTCTGAGAGAAATGTATCCCACACTAATTTAATGCAACTTCCCAACAGGCATTGCCCAGAGAGTGGATACAGAGGGAGTCTATAAACTGCCTACCCAGCGGTGGAAAGGAAAAGCATCTCCCTTCGTGCTCTCTCCTACAGGCTAGCAGTACTTCCCCAGGTAGCTCATCGCTTTCCCTTCCAAACTAAATTGCTATGCAACTGGTGTTCTATTGTCTGGTTAGGAGGACTTCCACCAGCATCACTGCAGGTCAGGAACAGGGCAGGAGATGGTAACAACAAGAAGGACCTGGACGTCCAAAGCCTCCTAGCCACGGCATGTGGCATTGACAGTCTCACACAAGAAGCTGCAGGGTCCTTTTCCCCTTTCCAATGTCAGCTGTAAATCAGTTAATAAGAGCGATCCTATCAGCACTGCAGTCCCAAAGCCTCAGCAGCCAGGTAACATGACTGACAATCTCACTACCATGCCTAATTTAAACGTCTCTGGGAAATTAAGACAACCGTCTCCTTTTGGTTTTGCCCTTAGCACATCTGAATGAGGTACTGTTATTCAAGGTGACTTCTGTGACAGCAATCTTGTAATCACGTAAGATGGCTGTCAGTGCTTTCTACAGTTTTAAATCTGAGAGCAGGCCAGCACGTTAGCAAAAGCTCTTCCAGCATACTTACCATTTGTTGGTTTGGGTATTTTTAAGAGGTACTACATTATAGTCATTTATAATACATCAGGAATGAAAAGAACCCTTGGGCTGAAAGCCACCAAAAGTCCAAGGCAGCAATTACACCCCTCCATGAGAGTGACATCAATGATGAGTAGATGTTGTGCAGGACTTCTGCACGGGAGGGACCTTAGCTGTGCACACAGCCTCCAGCTGCTGGTAACAACACTGCAGCAGATGAGATGTATCTGGAGGCTTCTTTGAATTGCCTGCGCCTTGCTATGGCATAAATGCTGTAAAAAGACGCTGAGACAGAGGAAGCGAGAAGAGGACGCTGATCTTACGACCTGCCATCCCTCGTATGGAGAGCAGTTATTTACCTGGCGTGTTCTGAGCTAGCAGGTGCTGTTGGCAGCCAAATGAAACACACAATTAACGCAGGCATGAATAGGATCAAACATACTCACATAAATTAATTGCTAATGAGACTGCATGTGCTGATTTTTAGTCTGAACCCTTTTGCTAGACCTCCCAGCTGTGCAGTCACGGATTTGAGCCCAGGTCTCACTGAAAGTCAGATGCTCAGCCCAGGATGACAAATTCTGTGGAGAAAGCCCTGTTCTCACGGTGCAACCGTGGGGGACGTGAGTGGCACCAGCCCACACCAGACGATATCAGGCTGCTTCTCCCAGCAAGTGGGTGATCACTGGGATCCCAGGTCAGGCTGCCGTGGGCTCAGACTCACCCTGCTCCAAGCAAGCAGTTCCTGCAACGAGATACCGCACCAGCAGGAAAAAGGAGCACACGTGAGAGTACGCCTTGGTGTTTTGGCTTTAAATAGAGCCGAGCCTGGGGGTGGCAGAGGGAGACAAAAAACGCCAGTACGAAACAATATTCGGATCCAATTTATTTCTTCGGTTGCATGAGTCAAAGCTACAGGAAATAACATCTTGGCAGCTTGGGCTTAATAGTTAAAATCTATTCACATTTCACAGCTGTTTTCAGATCCTTTAAAGAGGAAAGGAAGAGAAAAAGAAGTTTAAACTTTTATCTGAGATTACTCCTCCTGAGCACGTAGAACATGTCGACACTGTAAAATGTAAAACTGCTAACAAATCAGTGCAATAACTTTAAGACAAAACAAAGAAGAATTTCACTGGATCTCCCAGCTTTTTCCGGAAAGACAGGCAATCGTTTCTCATAGTAATTATCAGTAGCACTGAAGACACTTCAGGTGCTGATGAATGGACATTTTGAGGCTGGATATTCTCAGCTATCTCCCTATATTCTTTCAAGGAGTTTCTGAGGGTTGCGAGGTATTGCCCGCTTCTGGCTTGCTTGCACGCTGTCTGGGCTGGAAGCTGGCAGGGAGCTGAGAGGCCCCATCTCCGTAACCACATCAGATGGCAATAAGAGGAGAAATTAAAGGAGGGAAGGGGCATGCTCCTGTTCCCCAGGAACTCTCCTCCTGATATCTCAACAAGCCTAAAGGCCTCACCCACCGCTGCCCAAGCCCCATGCAACCTCGCCAAAATCCATACTGGGACCAGGTTAGAGCTAGGCTACACAGGACTGGGAAGAACCACCTGAATCATTGGCCTTCTCCATGACAGATGGACACATCTCACTGCCCTAAAAGCTCTCTGTTTAGACCATAACCAGAGTGGTTTTCTGCTCCCCACTACGCTCCCCAGACGACTGCCGATGGGCTGCAAATCATGATCAGCCTCCTCATGGGGGTTCCCTGAGGAGCTCGGAGTAAAACAGCGCCTAGCACCAAATCAGCTTCTTGGTGTACCCAGGTTTCATCCTGGTGAGCCAGGACCTCACCTGGGGTGATGGTCCCCATCCCACACCATCCCCCAGGAGGTTTCGGTGCATGCCGGAGGTCACCCCTCCTACCTCTCTTGGGAGAGGCAAGCACTGAGCAGCGAACTGCCTGTGTTAAAAATGACCTGGGGCAAAACTGAACGACACTGGCCAGTGATTCAGAGGGAATTCTCTAAGGTTGGCAGCAGCCTGGGACACATCCTACTCTCAGATGCATAGCTGCTTCTCCATCCGTTACACTAAACACAGGTGACAGATCTCCAAAGCAACAGCAAGAGGCTTGGTACAGGTTGTTTTCCAACACACGGGTTTCCCAGCAGTGCAGGGGTACTGCTGGCATTCATTGCCCAAACTCATCTTCCATCAGCTCTCAACAATTACCTGAATCACTGCCCCATTGGCCGTGGTCCATGGTGCCAAGCAGCACCACTGGATCTGGCCCTCACCCACTGAGTCTTGTTCCTTTCCTCACTGTCATCTGTCGCTTGCCCTCTCTTTCTCACGCCATGGTTTTCTTGTGGGAGGTGGAGAGTGACCTTCTCTGACTGATACCTTTATGGAGAGCATGGGTTTAGGATAACAGGCAAGATGCCACAGGCAGGTTTCTGTAGTTGAGGAATGTACAAAAGCAGGAGTCTGGGAGACAGATTGACACCATAAATGTCTCTACATGGTCAGATGGGTATGGCCTACAGTTTCTATAGTCAGCAGAGGGAGGAAAAGCATCTGAAGGGAGCTTAACCACCCCTTCCAAAGCATTTTAAAATATTGCTTAAAAATGAATGGGTTCTCAGCAGGTGTACAATCACACATTTGATCTAACTTCAGTGAAGATCCAAGGGTCCTTGCTTTCTCTCTCTGCTGGCTGCTATGTCTTGGGATGCCTTTAACCTGAACATTGCTCTATGCAAAGGTTTCCCCAGGGATACACTTACACAGGTGAGCTGCTCCTTGCAGTGGTGACACTCCACTGGCGGGGAAAAAAAACAATCAAACCCACTACCCCTTTCCCTCACGCACCCCAAAGGCCTCTGTGTAGAGAAGAATGAGCCCTACTCTGCTTTTTTCCAAGCACACCAGAGTACAGACTCTCACACTGCTCAACCCTTCAATGCCTCCCACCATCTCTATAGGAGTGCTTGCTGCTCCCCCAAATCTCTGTGGCTTGGGCAAGAGCTGTGGGGCACAGCTGAGAGAAGGGAGACATCCTAGAGATGGAAAGCAGCCATCTAGAATGAGAAGTGAAAAATAAACCTCTGGCAGCCTCTTTGTTCATGGTGGTATCTTCCCTCTGGGGTGGAAGGAGAACTGGCCCAGCACCAACCCTCAGAGCCGCCTCCTGAAGGAAAAGGTTGAAGGATCTCTGGCAGAGGGCATCTGTCAAGATTGCATTTTAGCAATTAACAGGGGGCATTAGTGAAGAAATCTTTAAGCCACCAAGACCCCCTGATTTAAAAAGGCTGCACACGATGAAGGGCCGTGATGGCCAAGCTCAGGAAAGACCCAGTTACTTCTGGAGCTACAAAGCAGGACACGCTGTAGGACTGGAGGATGGAGATGCAGGGGCAAGTGTGGGCAGGCTCCACATGTATTATGTCTATCTGCTACCTCAGAAAGCATCCCTGAGCACAGCTGAGGCCGTGTCTCTTCAGTATGACTGTGCTATGACAGACCAACTGATCTTACTCTCTTGAACATCCAAATGCATACAGCTATGGAGTGCTAGAGCTGCAAAATGCAAGTCCATGAGACTGCTCGCATGATGCGGGGTCTGACTCCGGCTGGGTCCGAAGGGAGGACAAGCTGAAACGCTGGAGAGCATGCTGTGCCTGTCCGGGTGCAGACAGTCACACCCACTGCTGCTGGGGAGGCAGGACCGCGAAGGGGATATATCACTGCAGAGCTGGAAATTGACGTGTGAGTTCAAATAGAGCAATTTGCAGCTGCAGAGCATCTGGCATTTAATATAGCTTTTGTCTACGTTATAAATGTCAGAAGTGATTTACACCTGGCT